ACCTAGTCACCTCATCTAATATTCCCAGCTTCCTCAAAGTTTGAGGGCAAAAGAACCTTGTAGACCTAATCGGACGCTTGATGAGTGATGCATATATAGGCCAAAATTGCTCGTCCGGAGCAATAATGCCATGATCGTTGATGCCAGGAGGAGGTGGGAATTGTGTTGCTGAGGATTCTCCCACCCTCTTCCTCTTTGACTTTCCTTTTCCCTTACCGAACATCTTGATTCTACAAATTCACCAAGAGAATATCATTAGAATAAATTGATAGGAAATGACATAAGAAGCCAAGTACTTAACCAAGGTAAAAGTGTATGCTTGAGAGTATACAATTCAAGGCATGCATGAATACATTTGGACCAAGGTTTGAATAAGGATTCCTATGTCATTCCTAAATTAGTCCTAACAAGGTCTAGGTGAAATTTGGCATGATGTCTCCTAATTTTCATGATATCCATTCATCAAACCATCAAAATCAAGCCAAAACCATGAATAATAATCTCCAATAACATTCAACTCATGCATTTCTCAATCATAAAATGGTAACATGAATACCCTAGTATGAAATCAACACTCAAATACATTGAGATCAAAATAAAACCAAGGTAAACATGCATAATCATCATAAGAACATGTTCTACTATGAACAACCAATCAATTGCAACAAGTCAATCCAAAGAACCACATGAAATAAACAAGTCATTACTAATAATTTCAAGAATACCATAATTCACACTTAAATATGTAAAACATGGTAAAACTATAAGAAATTAAAGAAATAAACTTGCAAAAGCTAGAACAAACATACCATAATTGATTGGAAGGAAGTAAAAACCCAAAAACACCGAAGCACTTAAACCCTTGAAATTGGGGAAAATGGAAAGATGGGTTTGTTTAGTGAGGAATTTTTGGTAGAGATTGTAGAAATTGAGTAAAGGATGGAAAATAAGAGAGAAAGGGTGAAGATTGGAGTGATTTTGATGGAGATTTGAGGGTGTAAGGGGAGGTGCAATGGAAGTTTAGAGTGAGAAGGAGAGGAATGAGGTAGGTGACGAGTATGGGAGTTGTGTTCACGAAAATGCAGCAAAATAGAAAATATGGCAGCATTTTTTTTTTCGAATCTGAAGATAGGTACAGCCGAACCGAGGGTATGTTAGGTCGAACCACAGTAGAAGTTCGGCCGAACTCCTCTTTGGTTCGGTCGAACCATTGCCAAAACTCTACATTATAAAATCCGGGCAGAAAGTTCCAGCAAAATCGCAAAAAGAGAGGAGTGATCGAACCCAGGGAAGTTCGGCCGCACTACAAGTTAAGTTCGGTCGAACCATCCGGGGGTTCGGTCGAACCTGTGCTGGAAACACAAATTTGCAAATTCTGGCAGAAAGTTGCTGGAAATATCTAAAAATTAAGGAGTGACCGAACCTAGGAAGGTTCGGCCGCACTACTGTGTAAGTTCGGTCGAACCTCCCAGGGGTTCGGTCGAACCTTATGCCAGAATGAAATATTTTTGTTTTTGGCAGAATGCTGCCATAAATCCTTGAAATTGCTGCAGTGGCCAAACATGAAGTGGTTTGGCCAAACTACCATAAATAATCACACAAGTAAAAATAGTCCTTAACACACATCTAAACACATTACAATCATGCTAGATGTAAAGCATATCTAAAACCCAAGCACAATCAAAACTCAAAAATCTCAACAATCCAAAGTCGTAGATGGAAAACTAGAATTGCCATGAAAAGAAAAAGAATAAAAGGGTTAGAAACTCGGGTTGCCTCCCGGAAGCGCTTTTGGTTAACGTCGTTAGCTCGACGTTCCTTGAGTTGATCAAGGAGGGTCGAATTGACGATGCACATCAAGAAGTGTCACAGAAACCGGTTCATCACTTGGGAATCCTTCATAATAGGGCTTGAGACGATGACCGTTGACTTTGAAAGGAGAGTGGTCGTCTTGGGAAATTTCGTAGGCTCCATATGGAAACACTTTCGTGACAATGTACGGCGCACTCCATCTTGACCTAAGTTTGCCCGGGAAAAGCTTCAAGCGGAAGTTGAATAGGAGGACTTTTTGGCCTTTGACGAATTCCTTCTTGACAATTTGAGCATCGTGCCAAGCCTTAGTCCGCGCCTTATACATGCTTGCGCTATCGTAGGCATTCATCCTCAACTCCTCTAACTCATGTAGCTCTAAAAGCCTTTGCTCACCCGCACTATGGAGATCAAAGTTGATTTGCTTGATTGCCCAATGCGTTCGATGCTCCATCTCCACGGGCAAATGACAATTTTTCCCATAGACAAGCTTGTAGGGAGTGGTCCCTATTGGAGTTTTGAAGGCGGTCCTATAAGCCCATAGTGAATCAATAAGTTTGGAGGACCAATCCTTCCTTGTCCTAGCAACCGTCTTCTCCAAAATCACCTTGAGCTCTCTATTGGTGACCTCCTCTTGACCACTCGTTTGAGGGTGGTACGCAAGCCTGCGCTTGTGAGACACCCCATATTTATCAAGTAGTCGAACGAAGGTGTGGTGCTTGAAATGCGATCCCCCATCACTAATTATTGCTCTTGGAACACCAAATCTCGGGAAGATCACTTTTTTGAAAAGATTGACCACCACCTTAGAGTCATTCGTTGGAGAAGCCACGGCCTCCGCCCACTTAGACACATAGTCAACGGCGACCAAAATATACTTGTTCCCATGTGAAGAAATGAAAGGGCCAATGAAGTCTATAGCCCACACATCAAAAACTTCAAGCTCAAGGATGGGGTTTTGCGGCATTTCATCCCTTCTAGAAATATTCCCCATCCGTTGACATCTATCACAAGTTTTGACAAATATCCACGCATCCTTGAATAGAGAAGGCCAAAAGAGCATAGATTGAAGGACCTTTGAGGCGGTCTTTTGAGCACTCATATGCCCACCACAAGGAGAAGAGTGGCACATATGGAGAACACTTTGAACCTCGTCATTGGGGACGCATCTCCTCAACAAACCATCGACCCCCCTTTCAATAGAATGGGATCATCCCAAATGTATCTCTTGGCCTCGTGCTTGAGTTTTCGACGTTGTTGCGAAGTGAAATCCGGCGGTATGGCACTACAAGCTAAGTAATTCACAATATCCGCATACCAAGGCTCCGATTTCACTTCAAGGACATAAAGCACATCATCTCTTAGAGCGTCCTCTAGTGGCAAGCCATCATCTTCAAACCTTGCACCGCCTAACCTTGAGAGGTGATCCGCCACCAAATTCTCGGCTTCCTTCTTGTCTCTCATCTCATAATCGAAGTCTTGGAGGACTAAAACCCATCTCAACAGCCTTGGTTTAGCTTCCTTCTTCCCTATCAAATATTTGAGAGCCGAGTGGTCGGTATACACAATTGTCTTAGAACCAATGAGGTAGGTTCTAAACTTCTCGAATGAATGGATAACTGCTAGGAACTCCTTCTCGGTAGTTGTGTAGTTTCGTTGGGCATCATTGAGAGTTTTAGACAAATAATGTATGACATGAAGTTTCCCATTCTTTCGTTGTCCAAGAACCGATCCAATGGCCTCGTCGCTTGCATCGCACATGAGCTCAAATGAAAGAGACCAATCCGGACCTTGGACAACAGGAGCGGTGCAAAGGGCTTCTTTCAACCTACAAAAGGACTTATGACAAGCATCATCAAACACAAACTCCTTATCTTGTTGCAATAGGGATGTGAGAGGCTTAGCGATCATTGAAAAATCTTTAATAAAGCGCCGATAGAGCCCGGCATGGCCAAGAAAAGACCTCACTTCCCTCACGTTGGTGGGGGGAGGAAGTTTTTCGATGACCTCAACCTTAGCTCTATCAACCTCAATGCCGGCATGGGAAATTTTGTGCCCAAGAACAATCCCACTTTCAACCATAAAGTGGAACTTTTCCTAATTCAACACGAGGTTAGCCCTCTCACACCTTTCTAAGCAACAAGATAAATTAGATAGACAATCTTCACAGGTGGCTCCTCCAACGGAGAAGTCATCCATGAAGACTTCTATCTCATCCTCAATCATATCACTAAAAATGGACATCATGCAACGTTGGAATGTTGCGGGGGCATTACAAAGCCCGAAAGGCATCCTACGATACGCATAAGTACCGTAGGGGCATGTGAAAGTCGTCTTCTCTTGATCCTTAAGGTCAATTGGGATTTGGAAAAATCCCGAGTAACCATCAAGGAAACAATAGAAGGAATTCTTTGTAAGCCTTTCCAACATTTGATCAATGAACGGTAGTGGGAAATGATCTTTGCATGTACTTGTGTTAAGTTGGCAATAGTCAATACACATGCGCCAACCGGTAACAAGTCTAGTGGGTACTAGTTGATCATGATCATTTTTCACTACCGTCATGCCCCCTTTCTTAGGCACAACTTGCACGAGAGATACCCAATCACTATAAGCAATTGGGTAAATAATTCCTGCATCAAGTAGCTTAGCCACTTCCTTCCGCACAACCTCTTGCATGGAAGGGTTAAGCTTTCTTTGCCTTTGCCTGACGGGTTTGGCATCTCCCTCTAGATCAATTTTGTGCATACATAAAGATGGACTTATACCCTTGATATCATCAATGGTATAACCCAAAGCCTTTTTGTGTTTTCTCAAAACATTGATCAAGAGGGAGGTTTGCTCCTCCGTTAGGTTAGAATTTACAATCACGGGGAAAGACTCATTGGGACCAAGAAATGCATACCTCAAGCCCAAAGGTAGAGGTTTCAAGTCTACCTTTGGTGCTCCCTTACCATTGGGGCTCTCTTCTCTTTCTTCAACTTGAAAGAGGTCATGAATGTAAGGAGCCTCTTCTTCCATGCTCGCGCCCTTGCACTCCTTCTTGCTTTCCTCAAGCAAATCCTCATAGAATTGTATGTCTTCTTTGTGAGTACCTATCTTTGATTCATTCAACAACACACTTTCAAGGGGATCATTAGTAGCATGCAAGTGGGAGCGAGAAAATTCATCAAGAACCGTATTAAGAATATCTACCCTAAAGCATTCACCACTTGAGGAGGGTTCAAATCAAACTCAATAAAATCATTGTCAATTTTCAAGGATATCTTCCCCTCCTTCACATCGATGATAGCTCTAGAAGTGGCTAGAAATGGCCTACCAAAAATTATAGGAATCCTCTCATCCTCATCCATCTCTAGTACATAGAAATCCACGAGGAATGTGAACTTTCCTACCCTAAGGGGAATGTCCTCAACTTTGCCCATAGGGAACTTAACGGAACAGTCCGCTAGTTGGAGAGTAATGTTAGTGAGAGAGAGGGTTCCTACACTAAGCTTTTGGTAGACGGAATAGGGCATGAGACTCACACTTGCTCCTAAGTCACACAAGGCTTTATCAAATTCAATGCCATTGATAGAACAAGGGATGGAAAAGTTACCCGGATCTTTCAATTTGGTAGGTAGTTTGTTGGAAAGAATTGCACTACAATTGGCGGTTAAACTCACCGTCTCACACTCCCTTCTCCCACTCAAAAGATCTTTCAAAAATTTGGAATAGTGGGGAATTTGCTTCATAGCATCAACAAAAGGGACGGAGATATGCAAACTCTTAATGACTTCCAAAAACTTCCCAAATTGGGCATCAAGTTTAGCTCTCACAAATCGTTGTGGAAAGGGTAGCTTCTCCTCTCTAGGTTGGCGATTTAGGGGCAAGGGGGTGGCTTCTTTTTCCTTGAGCACCTCAACATGTTTTTCCTTTTCAACACTCAATGGCTCATTAGGTTTTTCATTCTCATTCTCTAACTCCACCTCTTCTTGGGGTTCTTCCTCAATTAAAGGGTCACTCCCTACTACCTTCCCACTCCTTGTTGTCACGGCATACAAAGGTTTTGGGTTGACTCCTTGACTTGGGATGTGAGAAGAAGAAGGAAAAGAAGAAGAAGGGGATGAATTAGATGCAAGTTGAGCAATTTGAGTCTCAAGCATTTTCATATGAGCATTGGTTCGTTTTTGAGCCTCTTCATGTTTCTTTTGAGCCTCCTCACACATTTTTAAAAGAGCATCTAATTTAGCCATCACGGGATCTATTGGAGGGGCTTCAAGTTGAAGAGGTTGTTGAGGTGGAGGAAGTTGGGGTTGATGGAAACCCGGAGGCCTATTAGTTTGGGCATAGTTAGAAACAAATTGGCCCCGATTGCCTCCGGTGCCTTGGTTAAGAACATTGCCTTGTTGATTATTTCCCATGTTACCTTGGTCACCAAAATTTTTTATTTTGATGGTCATGGTATCGGGAATTAGGTTGTTGGTTTTGATTACCATATCCTCTTTGGTTAGAGTAGCCTCTTCCATTGAAATTGGAAGGGCCTCCCCCACCATGGTATTGGTTATCATAACCACCACCATTTTGGTTCCAACCACGGTTTCCACCTTGATTCCAATTCCCCATTTGATTGGATTTTGGCCTCAAGTTTCCTACATTTCCCATTCTAGGAGCAAAATTCATAGCATTGACATTTTCCATATTACTATCATGTTCATGGGAAGGGGGTTGAACTTGACAAGGGAATAAACGCGTCGTCAATTGTCTATCCCTAGATCAAATACAATTTATACAACCTAAACAAACCTAATACGAGTATAAGGCAAGCATAGGGGTCGAACCACAGAGGACGGTAAACACCACCAAATGATATTGACAATTAAGCTAGTCCGGAATAGGGGATAAATAAACTAAAGTTTGAAAATGCTAAAACAAGAAATAAAACATTAAGGCACCAAGGGAAATGGGTGGGTGAAGATGTCACTTGATCATGCAATAACACGGAAGCAAAGCAATGGTAAACTAAGCATGCATGAATATCAAAGTAAAGGGTCCAATCTAGTCGCCTTCTGGGGTCAATTGGCTTCTCCTAACATAGCCTCTATGTTTCCACATTAGAACCATATACTAGGAGGTACTATTAAATAACAATCGATAGTAATGAATCTCAACTAAGTCAACTTCCGTTACTTGTTAGTAAAGACTCATCTTTGATCAACTAACAATGTACACTTGCAAGAAAGACCAAAGAATATCAAGCATGCAAAGACTTTAATCACCATTAACATAACCCCAACATTAAAAGCATGAACAATTAGCAACTACACCATCCCCACACCCTTGGCTAGATGACTACTCACAAATCATGTTGAAAACAATATCAATCATCAAATCAATAAGCATCAACATGATTAATAAGCAAAGAAGAAAAATAAAAGCAAATAAACAAAATAAAAAACAAAGGTAAAGAGAAAGAGTAAGAAATTGCTCATTAATTGAAGATGAAGGTCTACAAAGGATTGAACAAGCTCCTTCTTCAAAATCCAAGTTCATTAATGAAGAAAACCTCACTTTCTCTCTCTACCAATGAAGACTAACCCTAACCTAACCTAAAACTAAAACTAATTAGAGAGAAGAATATATAGTTATTGAATGTTCTTCTAATTACCCCAAAATTGAGTATTTATACTAAGCTAATAAAACTAGGAAAAATAGAAAAATAAAAGAAGGAAATAAAATAAAGAAAGAAAAGGAAATACAAAGAAATTAAAAGAGAAAAGAAAACAAAAGAGAAAAGAAATAAGAAAAGGAAAAGAAATAAAAATAAAAGAAAAAGAAAAATAAAACCAAAATCCCCCAAAACATTAGCTACCCCGATTCCCCTTTTCTTCCAAATTCATGGCTGCTCTATCATCATCAATCATCAGCAAGCAATCATCTTAATCACCACCGCTCATCATCATTGAAAATCGGCATCAAACAAACACCACCGTTCGATCCTCATTAAAAGCCATGTGCATAGCTCGTGAAGCGGTTCGGTCGAACCATGGGTTGGTGCGGCCGAACTACGGGGTTGGTTCGGTCGAACCATGGGTATGTTCGACCACTCCTCTTCGAATAACAAAACCCCCAAAGTCTCTGACTCTAAGTTCGGCCGAAAATCTCAATGGGTTTGCTCGAACTTGATTGATTTTCAATTTATTCTGATTTTTTCTGTAATTGATGCTGGTGGGAGATTTGTTGCTTAATTGGTGGTTGTTTTGTTGTTATTGTGGCTGGTGGTTTGCGGGGTAAAGCAGGGGCTGTTGCGTGGTGATTGCGGTTAATTGCGGGTTGGTGGTGGTTGATTGGTGGCAGCAGGGGAGTTCTGATTGGTGGTGTTGGTGTTGTGAGGGTGAGTGGAATTGATGGTTGATGGTGGTTGTTGTTGCTGATTGGTGGTGGGTACGGAGGTGATTAAGGGAGGCAGCAGCTATGAGGGGTGTTGTGGTGCTTGCGGGGTTGCAGGCTGGTTGTGTGTGGTGTTTGGTTGTGGTCGTGTGAGGTGGTGAGAGTAGGGGGTAGCTGCTGTTTTGTGTGGTGGTGTTGCGGGGTTGCAGACTGTGGTTGGGTGGTGTATTGGTTGCGGCAGCTGTGAGGGGTGTGGCTGGTCCAGGGAGCTGTTGTGATGTGTGGTGGCGCTGCTGTAGTGTGGTCAGGTTGTGTTGTTGGTTGTGTTGGCTGAGGGAGGCATCAGGGGAAAGGTTGGTGTGGTGGAGGTTAAGAAAGAGATGGGGTGAAGAATAGGAGGCAGCATCTAAAGGCAGCACAGCACAGTTTGCTTGGCTCAAAATTTGTGCCTCGAACCTCGGACTTAGAACTTGATTTGAACATGGAAATCGAGCGTCAACCCGAACACACCTACAACCAAAAACCAAACATGAGGGGAGAAATGGGACAAAGAATAAAATAAAATAAAATGAAAATAAACAAAGGACGAAATAAAACAAAACCACGACAAATAAAATAAAATAAATAAAATAGAAATAAATAAAATAAAATAGAAAATAAGAGACATAAAACTAAACTAATAAAAATAAAACAAAAACTATACAAGCAAATAAAGTAAAATAAAATACGAAAATAAACTAAAGCTAATAAAATAAAGAAAATAAACTAAAACGCTCCAAAACTACCAAATAAACAAGAAACTTTATTAAAGAGAAAACAAGAGAAAGAAAGTGAAAATAAGATAAAATAAACACGAAAATGACGCTATAACTACTCCCTAAGAGTGACATAAATGTCACTCATCAAATTCCCCCAAGCTAAACCTTTGCTCGTCCTCGAGCAAAGCTAAGGCAAAAGAGAACAAGATGGAATTATTAAAGGCAAAAGAAACAAAATAGAAACAAAGAGAAAGAATGTACACTAACTCACTGTCGTAGGAATCACGGATGCATTTAGCGTATGCATCAAGCCCTTTAAACCCCTATGTCGCCAAAGAGGACGAGTAAGCTATCGTGAGGGTTTCCTAAGAGGTTTAACCCACAACTCTTGGCAACACATAACATTGAAGGCAAAGGTGAAATCAAGAAAACTCGAGTTTTGATATTTCAAACCAAACACAAACAATAGGCTAAATGCACAAGAATACAATCCTTTCTAGACATTAAAGGTAGCCAAGCAAAAGAATAGCTAAGGTTGATGCACACATAAAGCATGCAAAGGGTAGAGAACTTAGAGGGACTTACACTCCTCCTTATCTCCAACCAAACTTCCGCATCCTCACTAGTTTTGCTTCCACTTTTAAGGTTATAACTCGAGATTCCTCGAAGGAATCGGAAGAAATAAGCAATAAAAAACATTTAGGCTACCCGACATCTTGGCATTGATAGCTCGCTCAATAGGCTTGGCTTGATTACCCTCCATCGGTAGTAACTGAACCTTACTAAGGTCAAAAGGTCTTAAAAGGGTTGAAACGTTTAGGCTAGGGTAAAGGGTGTGGAAATAAATTTGGAAATTGGTGGTAAACTTAGAAGTGAAGCAAGGTTGATCATTCCTCAATTCAAACTCAATAAACTACCAACTTTCAAATAAAAAATTCTAGCAACTCCTCCCCCAAGCTTATTCTTTTTCAACCAAACAACAAATATTTTTGTATTTTCTCAATATTTTCTTCTTTTTTTTTCATTTCTTTTTATTCTTTGCTCTCGCCTCTTTTAACTTTGAGCGGCTTTTTCTTTCATTTCCTTTATTTTCTTCTCATTTACTCAAACCATTCAACATAACAAAAATAATCACAAGTACCAAAATTTGAGTTTTTCACTTCTTTTTCATTATTTTTCTCACTTTCATTGACAAAAAATACAAATCAAGTCCCAAGAATGCTTCACAAAAACTAATAAAGGTGAAAATAAAGCAAAGGTCCATTGGTTTGTAATGTGGTTATGCCAAAGAAGGGAAAATGGCTCAAATTGGGTTATTAAATGGGCAAATGCAAAAGAAAAATATAAGAATAGAAAATAATAAAACAAAACAAAAATCCTAATTGCCTTCGTCTTCCCCTAGGTTGGTTCGGTCTCGATATTGGGTAGATTAAGCCAAATTCTCGATATAAGCTAGCAATGCCAAGGATCCAAACGCCACACATGCAAGAAATGTAGAAGGCTAGAACAAAATAGACACATCCTCACAAAAATGACGGTAGTGGAGTAGCAAAAATCACCTTTAAAGCTTCAACTAGCTAGAGAGCGACAACCATCTTACCACAAACCAAGTGAGCTAAGGTCTCATAGCCCTTAAGTTCTACTACCTTGGCAATGTTATATGTGTGAACCAACCTCGACATTCAAGTGCACGAAAAACCTCTAACAACTAGCAAAGAGGGTATTCTAGGTGCTAAAGCCCAATTATGTCCAAGTTTAAAACAAAACATTTTGAAACTTGCCTTGAATGCCATGGAAAGACGCTATACACACAAATATTCAGAAAACCAACAATACTCAAGAATGCATATACAATTGTGCAAGATAAAAGCATGATCAATCAAAGCTACAAATACCAAAAGTCAACTCAATAAGGCGCTCATGGCCATCCAAACATAGAAAACCAATCTCAGTAATAGACTTTGGCAAGTATGAGAGAAATAAATCAAGCAATCATGAGACTATGGATTAAGAAACCACCAAGAGATATAGATAACCCCCCCAAGCTAGCGAATATCTACTCCCCCAAGCTAGAATGGAGCATTGTCCTCAATGCTCAAATTAAAGGCACAAAGGGTGGGTGGGAGGGGAAGGAAGAAAACTCATTCACACAACAATTCATAATCATACAATCCAAATGCAATTCAGAAAGCGAATCCAAGATGAGGGAAGAAGGAAAGAGTAAACCAAATGTTAGGTGGGTGTTGAAACCCGCAATTGAGCACATTGTCCACAATTTCATCTAATTCCTCGTCTTTGTTGCTTTTCCAAATGCAAGCAATCATTGGTGTGCTTCTTCTCAAGGAGCTCAATCCAAAATCCTTGCACATGAGTATATGCATCGAGTACCTATACACATAGACAAGAGAGTAAACAAAATTGAGAAACACAAAAGA